GGGAAGGGACATCTGCTCCACGCATGCCTCAATACCGTTAGGCAGTTCTACGTGTACCGTTGGGAGGACTAAGCCTTTACGCGCGTAAGGTGGTGAGAGGCGAGTACTGCCACCTGTCTTAGGAAGGACAGCAGAGGTAGTGCGCGCATAATCTTGAGGCTGCATGGCCAGCCTTGAAATAGGGAGGAGGACGAACGTTAGAGGTAGGAAACTTCGCCCCCAGAAAGAAAATACTCTCACTCTATCTGTCTTCTCCTTCCTTCCTCAAGTGGGCTGACTTGATCGTCGGAGGGTCTATCCGGCACACCACCGCCGGGCAGCTCACCGTTTCTGTGCTACAAGGTAGACGCCGTCAAGAGAAGCTTGGAGTATAAGGAGTATGGAAAGCTGAGGATATTTCGCCCCCGTACACTACTCAGTAAGTGGACATAAAATGCTGGAGGGAAATGGTTACTGTCTACTAATACAGCAGGCATAACCTCTAAAATATGGAGGGATATAGTGGAAGTATCACAATCAAATCCAAAATTATATACTCTATTTTTGTAGAACATGGATATAACAATAAGAAATGGAAAAAGAATAATGTTTTGGACTGATAATTAGATAGGGAATTCAAGCATTTGTAATAAATTCCCAAGACTTTATCAGCTATGCACAGCAAATGAGGCTTCTCTAAATGAGCAGATTTCTAGAAAAGTCAGTTCAGATAGGTGGTGCTTCAGTTTTAGAAGAAATCTACATGCTTGGGAAGAAGATGAGTTAGTTAAACTCAATGATCTGTTGGGAACAGGGCCCAGGATAGGAATGGAGATTGAGGATTCTGGGAAATGGAAGGGTGATCCAATAGGTGGGTTCAAGGTTAGGAGTGCATATAAATGGTGTGATATGGATTCTATACCTCTGCTTAGTTCTACTGGACTGATATGGAACAATTTATCTCCACATAAAGCCAAATTCATTACTTGGTTAGCATGGAAGGGTAGACTTAAAACAAAGGATTTTTTGCACCGAATTGGAGTGTTGAGGGGGAATATGGATTTACATTGTGTGTTCTACAATTCTGTTTGGAATCTTCTAATCACACTCTGTTGCTCTGTCCTTTTGCGTGGAAGGCGTGGGTAAGCATAATTGAGTGGTGGGGGCTGGAGTCGATAACACCAGATTCAGTAGACTACTTAATTCAATGGTGGTTGAGTTAGAATTTTAATAAAAAAATAAAGGATGTTTTGGAGATCTATTCCCTCAGCAGTGCTTTGGTCTGTCTGGAAATGCATAAATGAGTGTATTTTTGCTGCTAAGCATCCAGATTTGGTGGAGTTATGTGAGACAATTAAGGAAAGGTTAGCACTTTGGTGGAAATCACGTAATTCTGGGTGCCTTTATTCTGTAAACGATATTGTGAGTAATTTTCAGGTGGTGAAACAAAGCTTGTAAAGGCTGATTGAGTGTGAAGATGTATGGATAGTAGGAGCAAAAGTCCCAGGAGAGTAACAGCAGCATTGTGGATGGGTATGGTGGATTCTATGTTCTGCATTTCTACAGCATTCTGTCACCTGCTAAGCAGCAACTGTAGCTATATGGATCAGTTTGAAGATCTACTATTATGGTGGGCTGGGGGTTCTGCTTTTGGTTTTCCTGAAGTGTGGTGATCAGGGAGCATTAATGTTGAGGTTTAGGTGCATTGTTGAGTGCATTAGTGTTGCTTGGGCTGCTGCTGCTGCGCTGGATGTATTGTTGTTATGTTTTTCTTGTTTTGGCTGCTTTTGTTTGGTTAGATGGAGTTTGGACCTCGGTTTGATTATTGTGGTTTTGGAGAACATGGTGGAGTTGATCTCTTGCAGTTTGATTTGATGTTATACTGCTTCTGGATTGGTAATGATGATGTAGGTTGATTTGTGTGGGACGAAGAACAGTCTGTTGTGCTGCCTCTGAATGCTGTATGGTTGGAGTTGCAGTTGGAGCTATTGCACCAGAGGTTGGAGTTGCAGTTGCATTAGAGCTTTTTGCTGCTGGGTTTGCTACTGATGTTCATCCTCTGCTGATATGGTTTGAGCTTTGCTGATGTTCATTCTCTGCTCTGATGTGGTTTGCTAATATGGCTTCTTGTGGGGTGGTTTGCTGATTTGGTTTGTTGTTGTGATCTCCTATTTTATTGTATTGGGAGTTAATTTTGTTGCTGTCCTATTTTGGTTTGTTTTAGGTCTTGTTACCTCTTACTCGGGTGAGGTTGTTTTGGGTGTGAGTTGTTGATCCCTCACCAACTCTTGATGGTGTGCTTGCATATGATTGGGCAGTCTTATTGGTACCAACCTAGTTGGGATTGATTTGGCTCGCTATGATACTGTTTTGCACTCATCCTTTTTTTCCTATATTGATGTAATAGCATTTTTGCTTCATTAATAAAGTTCATTTTCTTTCCTGATCAAAAAAAAGAAAAAGTAGACATAAAAGATTAACAGTAACTCTCTCAACGATGATACATGAATTTCAAACCACCAAACCACGTGAATAGTTATAGCCATTGATTGAATCTGTAGGTCACCACCCTGGATGCAGTTGATCATTTTGATTGAATGAATTCACTAAACTAAGGCATGCAATCAAATTGAGAAAAATAGCAACTTTTAAAATTTTGAAATGAAAAAAGCAATCACTAAATGCTAGAAACCCACAAATTTCAATAGAAAACAATAAAATATGTATATTAAAATAATAATGATAAAGTAGAATCCTGATGAAAATCTCCAAACAGGCCACTACAACTCTTCAACAAAAGTGAGCACAAAAAACCTTACAAAATCCATTGGTAGGACAAACCTGTACAGTCAATAATAATTATAAAAAACAATCAAACAAAAAATAGCTTTGAACTCTCTTGATGTCAATTACATGCTCACAACAATAGATATTATTTTAATCAACTACAAGAAAACAAAGAAAACCAAACAAAATAATCGAAAGACCTTGGATTTGTTATGGCAATGCTTGCAATAAAATATTTCGTCACAAGCTCTAATGTTACATCTTCCTCTGTAATATGAGCACCTGACATTTATCTATCCACACATATATACAAAGTTCAATTCAATCTAAAAAATTAAGAAAATATAGAAATAAAGAATAAAATTTAGGAATGAGAATGCGGATGGAAGGTACACTTAATATAATAAGGGAAAATTGTTAAAAAAACATAGTAGGTGAAGCTTTAGGCTCAAAACCATAACCAATTCGGTACATACATGGGATATGCATATACATATACAAGAAGTAAAAGGTTGCCTTTAAAGGAAGAGATCATATTGTTGTTATTTAACCATTCTGACAAACACATTACCACCAAACCTTTGAATTTTTCTCTACTTAAAATAGACCAACAAACCAACTAAAATTTTGAAAATACAAAAGAAACAAACGATGGTCAAGCTAATACAATCATCAATCTTCATTCTCTCAAATCTACCCCTCAAAAATAAAAACAACACAATAATAATAGAAGCATAGCAACACTCAAAAAGGACCCCGATTCATAATTAATATTTAATAACCAATCACTGACACTGTAATTGTTCTCAAACTGAAATAGACAAACAAAAAACAAACTCATAATTTTGTCAGCAAATCTATTTATGCACAAAACATTATATTAAGGCCTTGTTTAGGAACCTTGATTTTTTATCACATCATTCTCTCTACTTTTCAGCACATATTTTTGTAAAAAGCCAAACAACCACTAAAAAAGTTAATTTCCAAACACCCCCTAGGATTTATGAAATACTTAGGTCTCATTTGGGAACTTAAGATTTTAACCTAAAGAAGATTCCATAACAATTTCAGCTATATATTTTAGAGGTGAAGCTTATATTTTATATACAACAACCTAACCAATACTAATCTAATCTAAGCATATGAGTTAAGACTAACTCTAACTAATTCTGTTACAACTACTAACTGTTTACAATCTGTTACAACTATATCAGATATGGTATGACTTCATGTGACACAGCTTATAACTTCTCACACGTGGATGATTGAGACTGAGCCAATGCTTCTCTGACCTGAACCACATCTTGAGCTACAGTCTTAGCCTTGATCATCTGGTTCTGTTCTATACACTTATCAGCCCCCCTCAAGCTCAAAGGGGAAGAAAGCACCATGAGCTTGTCATGAAGAGATTGAAATCGAGAAACAAGTAAAGCTTTAGTAAAAATGTCAGCAAATTGGTCAAATGAGGCAACATGCTTGACAAAGACTTGTTTGGAAGCAATCCGTTCGAAGATATAATGGTAATCAACAGCAATGTATTTAGACCGAGAATGAAACACCGGGTTAGAGCTTAAGGAAATAGCAGAAAGATTATCACACCAAAGGATAGGACAAGGATGAGCAATTTTTAAATCAGTAAGAACCATCTGAAGCCAACTCAATTCAGCTGTAGCTTAGGCCAATGCACGATACTCAACCTCGGTGGAAGAGTAAGAGACTGTATGTTGCTTCTTGGTATACTAGGAAACAAGATTGGGCCCCAAAAGACACAATAGCTAGTGGTAGACTGACGATCAATCACACTTCTAGTCCAATCGGAATAAGAGAAAGCATGAAGTTCAAGAGGACTAGGAGTAAAAGAAAGACCTTGATGAATTGTACCTTTCGGGCATGTTTGATTGGAAGGATTAAAGCATGGGATTAGGATTATTAATCCGTGGGCCCAATCATCCCATGTTTGTTTTGACATTTTGGTTTAGGATTATTAATCCAATGGATAATTAATCCAACAAATTTGTAGGATTATTAGTAATGGGGTAGGGGTGGGATAATTAATACCACACTAATTTGATAGGATTATTAATACCTCACTATTAGTATTGTGAATCAAACATAGCCTTCAAGTATTACAATAGATGTTTTATAGAAGCAAAATCAGCCTCAGAGGGAGAGTGCATAGATTGACAGGCATGATTAACAACAAAGGAAATATCGGGTCGAGTAATTGTCAAATATTAGAGAGCCCCAACAACACTACAATATAGAGAAGGATTAGAAAAAGGCACAGTAGTAGAAGACAAGGAAGAAGGCTTGACGGATATGGGGGAAGGAGAGGATTTGCAATCAGAGATTCCAGCCTTAGCAAGAATTTCCAGAGCATACTTAGTTTGGGAAAGAAAATATCTTGAGGTAGATTGACTAACTGAAACACCCAAGAAATAATTGACGAGACCCAATTCTTTCATAAAAAAGGCTTTGTGCATATGAGTGATGAAAGAAGCATTATGAGCAGAATCATTCCCAGTGACTAAGATATCATCAACATAAACTAGTAACACAATCATAGTAGTAGCTGTGTGTTGAATAAAAAGAGACGAATTGGAGGAACTAACAATAAACCCATTAGACAGAAGATAAGTTAAAAAAGGTGGAATACCAAGCACGGGGTGCTTGTTTGAGTCCATATAAGGCTTTAGTCGATTTGCACACAAACTGAGGCTTAGAAAAATCAACAAATCCTTAAGGCTGGGTCATATAAACTTCTTCTTCCAAAATTTCATGCAAGAAGGCATTGGAGATGTCAAGTTGTTTAATAGGCCAACCAAAGTGAAGAGCTAAACAAAGCAAAATTTGAATGGTTGGTTGCTTAGCAACGGGACTAAATGTCTCATGGTAGTCCAAACCTTCTTCTTGGAGATATCCCTTGGCTACATGACAAACTTTATGGCTAGCAATAGTGCCATCAGAATTCTGTTTAAGGCGAAAAACCCATTTACAAACAATGGCATGTTTGGTGGGAGGTAGAGGAACTAAAGTCCATATGGACTGTTGTTAAAGAGTTGTAAATTCCTCATGCATAGCTTTGGTCCAGGAAGAAGAAAGAGTAGCCTCTTTATAAGTGTGACGTTCAAAATCATCAGGAGTGACAATAGATAAAGAGTGATGAGTGGCAACATTAGATCTGGTACCCATAAGATGATGATTAAGAGGCTAAATAACAGAAGTAGGAGGAACAAAAGAATAAGGAGGAGAAATAGGAAGAGACTAAGGTTGAAAATCAACAACTAAAGAATCAATGGAAATAGCAGAAGGAGAGGCAGAAGAAGAGGATGATGATGAAGTGGCAAGATGAGACAAAATAGGTAAAGACATAGCTGAGAAGGAATGATAACAAGATGGCCAAAAGAAAGGCTGATACTGAGAAAGTAAAGAATGAGAATGATTAACAGATAGAGAAGCAAAAGGGAAAGTGTGCTCATGAAACAAAACATACCGTGAGACATAAATCCTACATGTATCTAGGTCAAGACACCTATAGCTTTTGACGGAGGGAATGTAACCAGGAAACACACATGTAATAGATCGAGGCCGAAGCTTGTGAATGACATATGGCTTAAGCCAAGGAAAGCAAAGGCAACCAAATGGTTTGAGAAAGTGATAGTCAGGTAATTTGTGAAACAAAAGCTCAAAAGGAGATTGATCTTGAAGCTTAGAGCTAGTCATGCGATTAGTAAGATAAACTGAAGTGGCGACAGAGTCAAACCAGCAAGCAAGAGGCACACAAGATTGTTGTAGTAATGCAATAATAGTATCTATAATGTGTCAGTGCTTTCTCTTAGCTACGCCATTTTGAGGTGGTGTATAGGGACTAGACAATTGATGATCAATACCATGAGTGCGAAGAACATCCTAAAATTTAAGTCCTAGATACTTAGTGCCATTATCAGTGCGAAGAATTTTCAACAAAAGCTTTGAATTCCATGAATTTGGCAAAAACCTCACTTTTATAATGTCAAGAATATAGCCATGTAAATTTTCGGAAGTCATCAACAAACAAAACATAGTATTTATAGGAAGATAAAGATTGAAATGGTGCCCATACATTGTTGTGAATAAGTGCCAATGGTTTATTAACAAAAGTGGTTGGCAAACTAAAAAACAATCGATGGCTTTTGGCTATACAACAGTGCTTACAAGGAACTGAAGAACTAAAAACAGCTTTAGGCAATTTCAAGTTATTACAAATCACTTGCATCTTATGCAAAAAAGGATGACCTAGTCAAGAATGCCATGTAGAAGGAGAAGTAGTGGTGCTGATACAGATTTTAGGAGAGGGAGGTCTAGGAAGAACAGCTAATAGAGACCATGAGAAGTAGTGCCTCTATAGGGAATAGCTTTGTCAGTCTTGTCCTGAATCACAAAACCAGTAGAATCAAAAGTAATGAAACAGTGATTATCTAACACAAATTGATGAACAGAAAGAAGATTTGAAGAGATTTTAGGCACATGAAGAAGATTTGTACGATTGAAATTATGAGAAGGAGTAGGTAAAATACCATTGCCTTGATGTTGAATAGGCAAGGCACTGCCATCACCAACCATGACTTGATCTAATCCTTGATAAGGCTCATATAACTGTAAATTGTGCAAGTCATGAGTGACATGACTTGTGGCTGCTGTAGACGCGCCCGCGTGGGGCCTCGTGCTACAGTTAACGGTGACGTCCAAGTCTTGAGGACGGTCAAAAATGGGGTGTCTACAGCTGCTGAATCTAAAAACCAATTGTCAAAGGGAGAAGAGGCAGAAGTAATGTAGACCTTATTCTGAAAGTCAAAAGGACTAGTACAAGGCTTAGAATTGAAAGACTAATAGGAACTATCAATTCAATACTAGCAGTTGCGAGCAATATGATTGCTCTTTCCACAAATTTGACAAATCATAGGACTGTTATTGTGACTATTATTGTAATTGTTATTGTTATGACCAGATCGATCTCTTCTTCTCCTCTTTGAAAGTATCTACCACCAATACTAGATCTTCCTCCTCTATTGAAATTAGATTGTCCATAAGAAGAATTATGAAAACCAGAAGACTAAGGGATAATTTTCTGAGGATTACCTTGATGTGCAACAGACTAAGCCACATGGAGGTCAAGATGAATGTTTAGAGGCAGATTCTATATGAATATCCTCAAAACAGAGTAGGGATGAGAGATTTTCCATGGATATGGATTCAGGTCTTGCTCTAATAGTAGTCTTAAAGGCATTGTATTCGGCAGGAAGACCATTCAATGTTAGAAGAATAAGATCTTCTTCATCAACTGGTGAAGCAGCCATAGCTAACTGATCAAATAAACTTTTGATCTGAGAAAAATACTCTTCCTGTCATGACCCGAACCCGCCCCCATGGGTTAAGGACATAACCGGTCGGTAATCCTGAAATTACCTACGGCCTCAAACCAAATCAGACATAACTCATCAGAGTAAAGTGGCCAAACGGAAGCAGAATTTAAAACTTTGTCCATAGAGCTGTGCTTACATGGCACATCATAACAAACCATACATAAAGATATTAATAACTCACATCAGACAATACAGTAGCATAAAGTTCTGTACAAACAGGATCATTTGAATCTAGATTAGCCAATCAAAACTATATACAAACGTATCCAAAGTCCTCGCCAACATGACAAAATGACACAAGATAGCAAAAAGGCAAAGACATGTCTCGTGCGTGAGACGCAAGGGATGTATAGTGATCCCGGTTGTCCCTTTACTGTTCTGTTGTATTCTGGACTCGGTTCCATGGAGTTGGTAGTTGTATCTATCTTGTTGTCGTCCTTTAGTTCCATTTGTTTGAGTTTTAGGATGTGTTGGGCATGTTTCGAACAGGTGGATTGAACCTTGGTCTAAAATCTTGTTGCCAGGTTTTTGGTCGTTCTGCTCGAGCGGGCCTTGTCGCGCTCAAGCGGATATTGCACACTCCCAGTATTTCGTGTCCCTACAAAACTTCTGCAGTTGTGATTTTTACGCTCGAGCGGGTTTCTTTACGCTCGAGCGGTCGCGCTCGAGCGGGTACTCTGGCGCTCGAGCGGGTAGTACTTTTTGGTATAAGTTTTGGAAGGGGGAAATCTACACTCGAGCGGACTGGTTTTCGTGCTCGAGCAGATGTACTTTATTCTTGTTTCTTGGCGCTTGAGCGGACCTTCTTGCGCTCGAGCGTACCTAGTTTTTTGTTCTTGACGCTCGAGCGTTGTGTTCTCCGCTCGAGCGGGAATGTCGTATATCAGTTGGCAGCTGGGTATTTTAAAATCACTTTTTACATTCTCTCTCTCTCTCTCTTACTTTCTAAAAAGATATTTTGAGAGCTCCTCTCTCTAGAAACTCCCTTCTCTCTAGGGTTTGATCTAGTTAGAGTGTCACACTATTCTCCGGCCTTTGTAAAAAGTGTGTGGATCGTCGAGGGCTCCATTTTGATCCATGGATCTTTGAGTTTAGAGCATTTTGGTTTTCTTCAACTTCCCCGTTTGAGCTCTAACTTCGAGGTAGGAATATCCTACTCATTCCCATGAGTTTTGTCTTTAAATTTTAGCATTTTGATGAGTTGGGGGGTTGTTGGGTAATTTTGAGAAAGTTTGGGCCTTTGTGTAATTTTACAAAAGTTGGGGATTTGTTTATATAAACTCATATGCATGTTTGGCATAGAGAAATGAGATCAATATTGGATTATTGGTGAAAATGGAACCTTAGGGTTGTGATGTTAATTATGGGAAATGCTCTAATTACATTGATAAATTAATTAGTATAATTGATTTGAAGAAAAGAGGAATTAAGTTGAGAATGTTGGAATTGGATGTGTGGGATTAAAGGGTGTAGCTAGATTCGTTCATCACTCACCTAGTTGAAATGTTGATTATATATCCATTTGGTGCATTTATTTTCAGTATAGAAATAACTGCTTTGGGCTATCAGTGGAGGATAGTCTTGATTGTTGTAGACACTGCATGATGATTAGGCAAACTAAAACTAATCGATTGAGTATGCTATTGAATATAGCGACTGGAATAATACATTAATTCTATGTATTGATTGATTGTATATGATCTATGTTTATATACAAGTGTTGTGTGGGAGGAGATAGGGGATGTACTCCACGGTTTAGGAGAAGATAGGGGATGAACCTCTAAACCGGATTTTGTGTGACATTGATACAACGCTACAATGTGTATCATGTGTTGATTATGGAAGTGTTTGAATTGATTTGATATAGCACTAAAATGTATATCGTTACAAATTGTGGAGTATAGAAGTAATTCTATGTTATGTTGATCAAGCACCGAAATGTGTATCTTTCGCAGAGTGTGGGAATGGTTTATGTGTTATTGATACAACATTAAAATGTATATCCCTCATGAATTTCGAAAGTGTTTAAAGATGAGTCTAAATCTCATTAAGTTTTTGGCTAGGTGTTGAGCCTTGTTCTCAAACTCAAAGTTGGAAAGACATGGAAAATGAAATGTAACACGAACTTAATGTCATGAAATCGAAATGTGATATATGTGGATGTATCTGTGTTGACCATCTATCAACTACTAATCTTTTAGTCATTGTTCATGGCTGGTTTAGTGTATTTCTACTGGGCTGTGGCTCACCCTTTATGGGACATCATTTTCAGGTACAAGTAG